TGACAATCCTAAGAGCCGGCGGGGTGCCTTGCCCTGTCCTCCCTTGTGCTGCAGAACAGGCAAACTGCTTGTTTCCTTCCTGCTGTGTCCATATGTCCTCACAAGAGGCTTGTGAGCCTCCTTCCCCCTCTCCACAGTTTTGACATGAGGGGAAGGAGTTCCTCCCTCCCTGCCACATTCAAACCCTCTCCATCAGCTGCTTGGTTCCTGCCAGTGCTGCCTGATCCCTCCTGTTGCCTTCAGGCTTTCAGAAGTTTTAAATGCCCTTGTCCTTGCCTGTCTCTCATGAGGAATTCATCCCACTGACCTTTACCCTGACAGCCTGAGCTTGTTGTGGCTCCTCTGATCCTCTGCCCCCGTGACACTGTCACTTGGGTCGATCCAGGCTTTCCTGAGATCAGCCATCTCACTTCTGCCTCCTGAGGTGGCTTCTAGTACCCTTAGAAGCTGCCCACGTCTGTGTGCTGAAGAAATAGGAGGTCATCTCTGCAATCCATCTCGTGGGGGCCACATTGTGTGCGTGGGTGTTGTGGTTAATGTTATACACGTGGGGTTTTGTCTCTGAACAAACCCAGCTGCCCACGCCCCTTCAAACTGCACCTGAGCAGCGAAGACCTTTTGCTCTCCGGGGGAAAGTGGAGAACAGGAAATCAAGCCTTTCCTTGCCCTTTCTCCTCAGACCTCCAGTTGGAAGCAGAGCTGGCCCTGACTTCATAAATCAGCTCCTGCTCAGGTGGCCTCGTGCTGTCCCCCTCTCCTTCTGGCCTTTCCTCAGCCCAGAGAGATGATCCAAACTCCATCCCTCCTGCCCTGGTGACGTCCTTCCCATGCTTCAGGCCCAAGTCAGGTTTTTTGAGCAGATGAAATACCTCAGATATGTACTTGTTGTTGGGTTGGTTTTGTTGGTTTTGGGTTGTTTTTTTAACCTCTTCAGGAAGTATTGGCATATCTTATCGCTTGGTTTTTTAATATGTGGGTTTGCTGACATTGTGTTTGTTTGGTTGTTTGTTTTTTTTTTTTTAATTTTTAAATGTATCACCAAAGACAGAAAGTTAAAACAAGGCTGAGCAAAGCAGCAGTGGTTTCCCCATCCTTTAGGCCAGCAGGAGCCAAGCTCCAGCATCATCCCAGGACATGTGCATGACAGGGGGACAGGTAGAGAGGCAGGAAAAGAGGGCAGGAGTGATGCTCACTTAGATTTGTTCTTCATCTTGGACACGAGGGTGTCTCCAAAGTCCCTCTGATTTTTCCAAGCCCCAGGATCTGTGCCTGTGTTGGTTATCCTGCTACCTGACATCCCGAGGACTGTTTGGGAGCCAGAGGGTGGGAATGCACATGTCCTCAGATGGATGCTGCTCTGAGATGTCCCATCCAGCTGCTTTTAGTTGGAGTGGTGCCCACCCTCTGGGCATGGGGAAGCTGGGCTGATCCCGCAGGCCTCCACAGCATTTCATCCTCACAGACTCCCAGAGGTTTTTTCAGACTCTGGGGCTCAATGAGATTATTTTCTTTTTCCTTTTTTTTGTTTTCTTTTGATCGGTTTTTTATTTTATTTTATTTTATTTGGGGATGGGGATGGGGCTGTTTCCTCTGAGTGGGACTGGGGCACTTTTTGCTTTTCCTTCTGCTTTGCTCTCTGGCCCTGGGGAGCAGAGGTTGGTCCGGGGTGGATTCTGTCTCACACGCTAACGTTGTGTTTTCTTGCACAGAAAGGCACTCGAATCACTGAACTGCTTTGACACTACTAGAGTATTAATGTTTATAAGCTTTACTCAACCTAGACTGGAACTAGCCAGGACTAACAGATTGTTTTGTATCCAATTCAGGGAAAGAATCAGGTCGGGATGCGTAACAGATACCTCAGTTAAATAAGCTGCAACAATAAACTGGTCCTTTCTCAGTCCAGTGTGACAAGGACCATTCAGACTGTGAAGAGTTAACCCTTTCCTCTAAGCCTGGTTTTGATCCTGGCAATCTGAGCTCCAGATCTCCTACTGAGCTGCCAGGCTTTGGGGACAGGGTTATGGAAACCAGCAGCAGAGCCGGGGAAGGCTGAGCAAGGGTGGTGGATCCCCCCCCCTCTGCTCCATTTCATCGATTGTGTAGTACTCAGGGTTTGATACTGCGAGTAGGACTGTTCCTGTGTGAAGTGCTCCGCTTTGCAGTGTTGCTCCATCCTCTCCCAACTCCACACCAGCCAAGGTTTTGCAGCGAGCAGCCAAAAAGAAAACAGCCCCCAGCTTGCTCCAGTGCAGCCACCATGCTCCTGTTTCCAGGGGGAGATTTGCCAGCTGGGAAAACCAAACCAAACCTGCTTCAGGCAGCTCCCAGTTGATGCTGGGAAGGCACAAAAATTGGGACAAGGGGGGAGAGGCTGTGTGTGCCTGCTCGGCTCCCAAAGTGAATGTGAACGTGTCACACCAAGTCCTTTTGGCCACTGCACGTGCATGTGTGTGTGTGTGTGTGTGTGTGTGCTCCAAAGGGATTGGGATCAGATGTTCTCTCCAAACAGCTGCAGCAGCCTTGCTACTAGTTTTCTTACCTATTTAAAAAAAAATAATAAAATAAGTAAATAAAAACAAATGTGATAGCCTAGGCGGTGGATAAATACCTCAACGTCTCCTTCCAACAAGTGTCTGTATATGTTGTTGTTGGGTTTTTTCTATCTTACAGGTTATCTGAATGTTTATATTCCAATAAACTTCTACCTCTTCACACCGTGACCCCCAAGCCTGTTCTGTGCCCCTGGTTGTCTCCCTGAATTTAAAGATTTCCCTTTTTTCGTCCTGGGAAATTATTCCTAGAGGCTGGGTCAGCTTAGCTGAGGTCTAGATCCTTGTGTGGCTTTGGGCTCCCAGTTTGGAGCTGGGCTGGTGGGATGTTTTTAGGGATGGTGGCTAGGAATGAACTGGGTCCCTGTGGGCTGGAATGATGGAGCTTCCAGGTTGGATACTGACAGAAACCATATGGATCTCCTTTGCCAGGTGCTGCTGAAGCTGCTGTACCTGTCCCATGTCCCTTACCCAGGCTGGGGCAGGAGCCTGTCTCCCAAATCCCTCTCCTGTCATCACCACCTCCCCACAAAAAGGACATTTAACGCTTCCCACTAGTTTTGCTGTTTGCACAGCACCTGGAGGCTGTTTTTCCAGTCATTAAACCAGTTTGGCAGTGGGAGAGGAGCTGATTTTCAGTCCCTTTTGTATCAGCCTTTCCAGTGCCCCATAGCTGCAGTTGTTTTGACTGGGGGCCTGTTTGCGTCCGCTGGGTCCTGGGAAGGGGATGGAGCCCACGACCTTTCCCATCCTTCCACCGAACTCACTTAATGGAATTGGGAACCTCTCCCATCCCGCCTGCCCCCTCCATCAGCACCTGGCTGCAGGTGAGCCCCCCCCAGCAGTAAGAGTGGGCCGGCCTCACCTGGGCTCTGGTCCCAGCCTATCCAAGCAGCAGGCAGGTGAAGGCAGAGCCTTTCCCCCCAACCTTCCCTCCCCTCCTGCCTACCACTGGGTTTGGCTTTTCCCAGCTTTCCCCGCGTCAATGCGGCCGAGGCAGCTCAAGGACTCACCTGCCCTCACCTCTCTCCTTACAAGTCCGATGCCTGAGGCAGGTAAGGTGGGGTCTGGCAGTAGGGGGTGGAAAACTACCCTCGGTGTGTTGTTGCCACCTGCAGCTTTAGGGTCGGAGGGGGGAAGGTGCTGGGCTGGAGAGAGATCTTCCCTGGATCCAGGGGTGCTCAGACACCGGGGCTCAGGTGACAAGGGGACTCTGTGGTGGCCACCGCAGTCCAGGATAGCCCTGCAGCCCAGGGACAGCCCTGCAGCTTGGTGCAGCATGTCCATGCACAGGATCCTTCAGCTCAGCTGCCCCAGCTCCCCAAAGAGGGCACTCCAAGGGGTCTGATGCACCTTCCCGTTCCCCCAAGCCCTGCAGACCCACGTGTGTGTCCGTACACCCGGAGTGGGCACACTCCAGCCCTCCCAACTCGCTGTCCTGGGGCTGGACAGCCACAGGCATCGGCAGGCGTTGTTTGGACTGGAATATAATCCTTCAGGCAAGTTTACATCCCAGCCCCCTTCTCTCCATTCCTCCCTAAATGCCGCCATTCAGCGCTCATCCCAGCCACAACCTGGCTTTCTGAACAAACAACAAAGGGCTGAGGAGAGCCCAGCGCGGATTAAGGCACCTGGGGAGTGAAACTCAGCCCAGTGGGGTGAGACAATGCCTGCTTTTCTCCTTCAAAGGCCTCCATCCCTTTATGGAACCTGGCTCAGGCACGGGCACAGCTTTGTCCAGGTCCTGCTCTCCTTAATCCCCCCCTCCAGGGCTGGAGGCGAAGCCAGCTCTGGGCACAGGGAGGTTTTTTCCCAGCGCAACCACACAGATGCCACCTCTGAAACACACGTTTCCTAAGGAACTTTAGCCCTGATGTCCAGGAGTTTGGTCCCCTGCTCCCTAACTGCCCAGTGTGCAGGGATGCCACCCTGCCAGGGAGGCCACAAACCCCACAGGTATCCCTGCTGGGAGAGATAAAGCCCAGCTCAACGCCCGCAGAATCTCAGTCCTCTGGGCACAGCTGGGGGAGGAGGTTCCCCTCTTTCAGGGCCAGCCTCGGGTGTCTCACACCTCAGGGCCCTTTGAATCCAGCCCGGACACCCCAAATCCTCCCTTGCAGGTGCCTCTGCTCCCCTTCATGCCCTTTGTGTCCCCCACCAAGCATGGTGCTAATCATTCCCAAACTGCGTCAGCCTGGCAGCAGGGCTGATAATTCCCATGTTTTCCATGGTCCTTATCATTCCCAGGGCGAGGCTGGGTTTGTTTTAGTCTCAGATTGGTGTCAGGCTGCCCGAGCATGGTACTGGCCCCACCAGCTCCTCTCCCACCTTCTGGCTTTGGGATGCTCCAGCTCAATCCCAGTTTACAAAGAGGGGAGGTGAGTCCCAGGGGATGTGAACTCCCAGCTGTTGTTCCTTCCAGTGCTCCAGCACCCATGGAGAGTCACGTTGGCTGAGCTTTGGTGAGATCCATCCTTCTAATGGTGCCCTCTCTCTCTCCAGTGCATCTGCAGATCTTCCTCGGTGCAGGACTGTCCCTCCTCTGCCTCAGCATCCTCCTAGGCTGTGCCATGTGCTGGTGGCACCGCCGGCGCCCAAGTCCCCACCCCAGCCGGGAGTGGGCAGCCATGGAGCTGGGACCTGCTCTGCCTGCCGTGACTGTGCCAGTGCCCATCCAGCAACAGTATGAGGAGATGGCAGGAGAGGTGGCGGGGGCTCGGGCAAAAGAGAGTTCCTTGACATCAGCAGCATCCTATGGGAGTTTGCTCCATGTCAGAGCATCCTTGCCCACTCTCCCCTTCCTCCCGCAGCTGGCGGGAGCATGGCAGCGCCGCTGCACCATCTCTGGAGCCAAACTCCTCCACAACAAGGAGAGCCCACTGGTCCACCCCGTCGCAGGATCCCCACTGCCCTCCGAGCAGCGTCCTCGGCTCCACTGCGACTTATCCTACTCACCACCCGAGGCCATTCTCACCGTGACGATTCTCGGCGTCTCCCACCTGCCCAAGGGGCTGCAGGACGACCAGGGCTCCTACGTCAAGGTGTACCTGGTGCCGCGGCTCCCGGCGTGCCAGCGCGTGGCCGTGTGCCGCCGGAGCCTCCGCCCTGCCCCCCTGGAGCCGTGCCAGTTCGGCCCATACAGCCCAGAGGAGCTGAGCAGCTTCACCCTGCGCTTCGCTGTCTATGCCAGGTTGCGCAGCCTCAGGGACTCTTTTGTGGGGGAGGTCCTGTTCCCCTGTGCCCAGGCCTCTTGGGACCCCCAGGCCTCTTCCGGCTACACCTGGGAGCTGGCGAGCACCAAAACCAAGCTCAGGAAGGTCAGGATGGCTGCAGTCTCCAGCAGGGGGTTGTCCTCATGTTTTGGCTGAGGTCTGCTTGGTCTCAGAGCCCCAAAACTCCACGGGAAGAGGCAGAGCCTCCTGAGGCATCACCAGTTATCCCTGTGGTGGGCTCCATTGTGGTATAAGTCCCTGTCAGTGTCTCTGCCAAGGGGCTTTGCACCTCTGATTCAGGGAGTGGTGGGGTGGAAGGGGTAAATGCAGAGCTGGCACCATCCTTGCAGTGATGGTGAGCATCAGATCCTCCTTCTTGATTCATTTTTGCCCATTCGTAACTCATTTTTGCCCATTCTTGACCTCGATGGGGGACAAGCATCACTGAGTTGGAAGATGAGGCTGGAGAAGGTTTCACGGCGTCTCCTGCTCTCTCCTCCCATTCCAGTGCCTCAGAGCCCACGGCACGAGCTGCAGCGTCCTCTCCTCATCACCCAAATCCCTTGGACAGCTCTTCCTTCTCCTCCAGTACCAGGCTCTGGCCGGCCGCATCAAGGTGCTGGTCCGCAAGGCACAGGACCTGGGCCGGCTCTCACGCGTGCCGGGCACACCAGGTAGGACATGGGACATGGAGCAAGAGGTGAGGAGATGCCCAGGTGGGCACAGGCAATGACTTCTCTTTTTGCATGGCAGATTGTCTTATTTCCTCTTGAACTCCCCTTTTCCAAGCACGGCAGAGGGTTGGAGTGAAATGATCTTTTAAGGTCTCTTCCAACCCAAACCCTTCTGTTATTCCATGCAAATGAGCACAGGAAGCGTAGTTGTTAGGATCTAGATATCCCCAATATGGCCCCAAAATGCTTACAATATATATATTTATGGTCAAAAATTAGCATGTGGCTTTTCTGTCCTGCTGGGTGTTGTCATCTCTGGCTCTCCCCGCCCATCTGGAGCCTGGGATGTGGGCAGGGATGTGAGCTGAGGACTTCAGAGGTCCCTGCTCCTGACCCCAGAGGGGTAGGTGAAACCTCAGGAGCTGTCTGCGCTCTTCCCATGGTTCCACAGAGGTTCTGTAGCCCCCCCTTGCACAGCTGGGGAACTTCCAGCCTCCCTCCCTGGCATGTGTCCAGAGCAGGTCCCTCTCTCCATGGCTCTGTCTCCGTTTCCAGGTCACTACATCATCATCCACCTTTACCACAATGGCTGTGTCATTGACACCAAGGAGACCAACTCCATCAGTGGCTACAACCCTGTGTGGAACAAGCCTTTCCTCTTCAACATCCCTGCTGGGGATATCCAGCAGCAAGAGCTGGCATTGGAGTTCATTGTCATGCAGGTGAGGTGGATGGAGGTGACCATGGCTATGAAGGTCACCTGGATCTCCTGTGCTCCTGCACCTGGGGAGCTCAGCCCTCAGAGGAGCCATTTCTTGATGCCTACAGGAGATTGCTGGGGTGGGATCACTCTTTTGGGGGTGATGGAAAGCCACCAGCCATGTCCCATTTCCCCTCTCCTGCCACAGGCTCGCCTCCATACCCGTGGCTCCGCACTGGGCTGTGTGCGGGTGGGGCCACATGCCCCTGGGACCGGGCTGCTCCACTGGAGGGACATGTGCAGCCAGGGACCACTGGAGTCAGAGCAGTGGCACCAGATCCAGCCCAACACCCCCAGACCCTGATCCTGCCCACAGTCCACAGACAGGGCTTGCCTGAGACTCAGGTGCCCACAGGAGTGAGCTAGATGGGATCTCCGAGCCATGGAGGGTGAGGTCTCACCCACACATCATTGTGGGATAAGTCTGGGCTCCAACTCCAGGACTGGAGATCAGTGGTGGTCAGCACAACCCCTTCCTGAACGGCTGTGGAGGAGACTGAGCCTGTCTGAGGTGGCTTCAACACCGGGGAGAGAAGAGGAGCCTTTCTCTGTTCTGTCCACCATCACCAGCTCAGTGACTACACACAGAACCTTGGCCATTGCAGGAGATGGGTGGGAAGATCACCCAGCTGGGAGAGCAGCCCCATGGCCACCACAGTGGTTGCAGCTAATGCCCCTTCCAAGCCACCATCACCAGCCCACCCTTCCCATTCAGCCCCTGAGCTGGGACATGCCTGAGAGGGGAGCCACAAGGACATGCTGATATCACCTGGTGAGAAAGGTGTCCACTGGCATTTTTAATTAATTGCTGACCCAAACAAGTGGTTGATAAACAAATAAAGGGGTCAGGGATGATTGCATGTGTGGAGTCATTGGAATTCTGTCCTACCCATGGGCCAGCAGTGTCCATGGTCCATCATGTCCTCTGGAGCGGTGGCCTGGGTGAGAAGGGAGGTCACCTTGGGGGGTGGGAGAGAGCAAACCCCTGCCTGGTGCTAATTAGTGAATTATCAGGACTGAGGCCCCTCTCCAAGTGGGCCAATTGGACACGGAAACTCTTCCACCAGGTCTTCACCCCCAGGGTGTGACCCATGGGACAATCCCAGCTCCCAGCCCCGTCTGGTGGAAAGAGCTTGTCTGCAGAGGCCACTGGGGGAGGCAGTGCATGAGCCACCGTGATGAAGACCATGAGGAGAGTCACCATGGCAAGGAAGGCCATGGTGAGGGTTGTCACTGGGGGGATCATCATGGTGAGGAAGGCCCAGTGGTGAGGAAGGGCTGCAGTGAGATAAGCCATGATGAGGAAGGTCATGGTGAGGCAGACCACAGGGAAGAAGAACATGCTGAGGAAGAGGATGGCTGTGGTGAAGGTAGGCTATGGTGAGGAAGGCTGTGGTGAGGCAGACTGTGAGGACAAAGACCCGGGGGAAGAAGTCTTTGTGGAAGATGAGGATGGCCATGGAGAGGAAGGCCATGGTGAAGGTGATATTGGCCTTGATGACCATAGGGAGTCAGACCACAGGGACAAAGCCGTGCTGACAGTAAGGATGGCAACAGTGAGGAAGACCATGGTGAGGAAGGTCATGTCAAGGAAAGCCATGGTGAGGGTGAGGATGGCTGCAATGGGGAAGGCCATGGTGACAGAAGCTGTAGTGAAGGTGGCCATGGAGAGGAAGGCCATGGAGAGGAAGGCCATGGGGAGGATGAGGACGGCCACAGTGGGGTAAATCACAATGGGGAAGACCATGGTGAGTCAGACTACAGGGAAGAAGACCACGGGAAGGACGCCGTGTTGAGGGTGAGGATGGCTGCAGTGAGGAAGGCCATGGTGGGGCATGAGGGGCCAGAGCGTTGCGAAGAGTCGCCCTCCTCCCACCGCTTCCAGTCCCGGTTTAACCCTCGTCCCGTCCCTCCGGGGCGGGTTCAAGCCCTGTCCCGGTCCGTCCCGTCCCTCCGGGGCGGGTTCAAGGCCGGTCCCGCCCCGTCCCGTCCCTCCGGGGCGGGTTTAACCCCGGTCCGGGAAGCGGAAGCGGCGGCGCTGCGGGGCTGCCGGAACTGGGCCGGGCCGGGCCGCACCCGCCGAGCGCGGCCGGGGTTTGGCGGTGAGACCGCGGGGACACGCGGGGGGAGCGGGGCCGGGGGACACGGCAGGGACACGAGGGGAGGCGGGCGGGGAATGGGCCGTCCCGGGCGGGCCCAGCCGGGTAACGGCCCCGTAACCCCCGCTCCCTGCGGGACCCTCGGCTGCAAAGCGCCCTCCGGCATCACCGAGCCCCGGGCGGGCTCTGCCAGGGCCGGCTGTCCCCCGGGCCGAGCCCGCCTCATGCAGCACCCATGGGTGAGGGGTTTAAGACCTGCAATCCCCTTGTCCTCGCAGATGCATCACTGCAGGAGGTTCCGGTCCCCGGAGCAGGAGAGCGACCTGGGACACAGGTGGAAGCGGAGGCGGTCCCGGAGCAGGGAATACGAGGGCAGGCTGCGGTACCCTCCACGCAGGGATCTCTCCCGGCGGTCGCGATCCAGGAGGTAGGAGCGCTTCGGGGCGGGTTGTCCAGTAAACCCTCGTCCTGATCCCGCTGGTGTTGCCGAGCTGGCATTCATCTCCTGACTGCAGGTCGGCTTTAAACCTGTAAATCCCAGGGATGGAAGTGAAGGGTTTACTTGTGTTTGTGTGCGTGTGTCTGTGTGTGCACGCTTGTCTTCCCTGCTGCGCTAAAGTTCTTCCCAAAGATATGGCTTTAATATTAGCGAGGGAACAGCGTGCCCTGGAATCATGTTTCCACGCTGTGGAGGCCTTAAAGCCTTTCTCCCAGCAACCCACTTCCTTCTGACAGGATTATAATCAGATTTAAAGTAAACAACAATTTAAAGTAACAACGCTCCTCCCTCACCTCAGAAAGGATCCCAGCTAAAGGATCCGACCACTAACTGACCTCTCCTGCTTTGGTTCTGGATTTTACCTTTGATCCTCTCTTTGTTCAGCGTTTCCACAGGGACAATTGGGTGCTGGAAGTGGGATAAGGCCTCTAATAAGAGGAGGGTTCTGGAAGAGAGGCAGGAGCCATGTTGCAGTGTGTGACCAGAGTAGGCTGTTGGTACTGGGGCTGCTGTGGTTCCACTGGTTGGACTGGGCAGGTGCAGCCAGGCTGGAGCTGAGCTCATCTTTAAATGTTCCCTACATTAATTCCTCTCCTCAGCCTGGCTTTTGTTTACTTGAGGGAAGCAGATTGTGAAACACAGCTGGCGCATGCAATGGACTTTTCCATTTTTTTCATCCAGTGGGTAATTTGGGACAGATTTGGATGGAAATAGGCTTTTGTTGGGTGAAAACAACCTTATCCCTTAGTTTCAGACTCAGCCTCTCAGGTATCCTCTGATTCTGAGTCTGTCAGGTTGTTATTGTTTCCTGTGTTTGTCCAAAGTGCACAGTGAAGTTTCAGCAATGATGAATTGGTGAATAGATTGATGTTGGAGCAGAGCCATATGGTTTGTGTTTTGGGTGGTTTAGCAATGACCGAGAGCCACTGCTGCCTTGGCAGAGTCTGGATTTTACTCTGGATTCATGCTGAGATGAATCCCCACACTCAAACCTGTGTCCTGTTAAGCTGTCAGTGAGGGGAGCTGATTGTTGACAAGGCAGAGAGGTGCAAATAGCAAAAATTCCTGTTTCCGGGCTGAAGGTCTTGGTCAGCGAGGCCACTGCTGGGTGACAGCATTGACCTGGCCTGGCACGTGCCCAGGATTATTTTGGGAAGCCAGTGCACTACTTTGATTTCAGAATTACAACATCTTCTACCTAAAACACAGCCTCTTTCTCAAGGAGGTGTGAAGCAAGACTCACGGTGAGGTCTGGTTTGTTAGACCAGCTGGGGTGGAGAAGGCAGTTGTGCCTGGGGGGGCAGAAGCAGAAAGGGCTGCTCTCATCATTGATATGCCCACATGGTACCCAAAATCTTGTGTGTGATGTCAAAGGTGAGCTTTGTCTGATGACTTCAGGTCCTTTCTGATGCAGAGATGAGCTTGTCCAAAAGTTTTCCTTACATGCTGGGAGGTTGTTGTTAGCAGGGCAGGAGCTTGGCTACACTATGGAGAGCAAATTTTCTTTCTGGCTCTTTCTAATGATCTGTGGAGCTGGTGTGTGTGTGCTCACCAAGGACTCGGTGTTTTGGGACCTCCAGCCCCCCCCAGGGTGACAACTAGAGCCCTACTCCTGGGTTTAGTCCTCATTTATTTAAGAACTAATGAGAGACCTTCCTGAGGGAGGAGGAATGATGACAAACACTTGTGTGTGGTGGCAGAGGTGGCTTAGGTGAGGTGGAATCATAGAATCCCAGAATGGTTTGGGTTGGAGGGATCTTAAAGCTCATCCAGTTCCACCCCCTGCCATGGGCAGGGACACCTTCCACTAGTCCAGGTTGCTCCAAGTTCCATCCAACCTGGCCTTGAACACTTTGAAGGGTGGGAATCCACAACAAGGTAGGCAGCTCAGATAGAACTCTCTGATGGCGGTTTTCCCACAGCTCCTTGAAATGTGGGAACGCCACACTGTTTTCTCTCACATACCTCCATAGGGGTCAGTATTTGAGCACAGCAGAGGGTTTGAAGTTCCTGCCACAGGGAGTGGGAGCAGGAGGACACCTCTCTGGTGACCAAATGAGAGGATCTGAGGGAACAGCAGAGAGCTGTGCTGGGGGAGTGAGCTTGGATAGGATAGGTGGTTGGACACTGGAACAGGTGCCCCAGGGCAGTGGTCACAGCACCAAGCTTGACAGACCTCGAGGAGCATTTGGACAACGCTCTCAGGGTCGTGGTGGAACTCTTGGGGTGTCCTGTGCAGGGCCAGGAGTTGGACTCGACGACCCTCGTGGCTCCCTTCCAACTCAGGATGCTCTGTGACTCTGCGACTTAGCTCCAGCAGGACTGGGCCTTCCGTGCTTTTCCAGGCTGATAACAGCGTTGTTGTTTGTGCTGCAGCCATGAGAGGATGCCTTACCACAGGAGGTGCCGGCGGGACAGCGATGCCTACAGGTTCGAAGAGCGGAGCCCGTCGTTTGGGGACGACTATTACTCGACGCGCCCGCGGAACTGGCGGCGATCCAGGGGCAGAGGTCAGCACCGTCCCAAGAGATACCAGCACCACTGCCGGAAACGCAGGAGCAGGTCTTGTAGCAGTACCTCCTCGGTGAGTAGCATCCAGAACGAGCTCAGGAATGGTCAGGGTTTAACTGTTCTTGCCTCCTTTCAGCTCCGAACACTCTGGGTGAGTAACTCGAATCCCGTTTCTGTGTTTGTTTTCATTCCATGGAACGTAAAGTCCCAGATCTGTGTCGTGTTAAGCGGGAAGCACCCGTAGCTATTGATTTTTACTAGTCCAGCCCCTGTAGCCTTAATACGTGAGGGAGCTAAGCCGTGTTCTTTGCGGCCAGGGAAGGGATCAGGGAGAGCTTCCAGTGGCACCCATGTGACGGGCTGACGAGGGCGAGCCTTGGCTGCAGGCCAGCCCTGCTCCCAGCGATCCGTGTTGCTCGGCTTGATCCGTGGCCAGGGCTTCGCTTCTGCCTACGGGCCGCTGCTTCTCACAGGGGGGGTTTGGTATGCAGCATTCCTCGGTTTGGCTTTGTGCCAGGATCCCCTTCTGGGTGGGATCCATCAGCCCAGGTCTCCGGAGTTGTTACTGACCCCTGTCAGTGCTCAGAGGCTCCTGCCTTCTGAGGATACACGTGTTCCCCCTTCTGCTGTTTCCACTTGGATTTCAGCTTCTTTGCAAACTTAACCCTGAAATGTAGCATTCCTTCCAAGGATTGCCAGGGAGTATTTGGAGCTGGGTAGGGAGGCTGGTCGTAGGAATACCCTGTAAGTGGTGTGAGACCAAGTGTTTCACTGCTCCTCTCCTGTAAGGAACGCTCCCACCTCTCACTTTAAGTGGTATCACAACTAAATGACAAGGTCTGATCCCAGCAGTTGGATAATCTGCATGGCTGGGAACTCCTGAACTCATCCTTTTTATTTCTTTCCAGTTGACTTTTTAATTTTAGTTTTAGAGAGAGCCAGGGCTGTGATGGAAACACTGCAGTGTGCAAGGTGCTTACAGTGGTGATGCTGTGCAGGTTTGGGCTGGCACAAGCACAGGCCTCTGAAGCCCCAGAGCTCTCCCAACTGTCCTCTCTACCTTCTCCATTTCAGCTGATTTTTTGGGGGGGAGTTTTGATCTTAGCTCATTACTTTGGACCAGCGGGGGCAGCGAGGGGCACAGAAGAGAAGCCCACTAGAAGCTCAGGCA